TCCCCCGGCTGCGCCGCCAGGGGAGAGGGTCGGCACTCGATCCCTGCGCGATCCCAGCCCTGCTCGGTGTCTTGAGCTCTTGGGACCCCGTGGAGTCCCACGCGGTGGCCGTCAGGGGCGCAGGACCCTCGCGGGGTGTCACCGCACCGCCAGGTGTGACTCTGCAGGGTGTCTAAGGACGCCCCTTGGTCCTGGACATGGTGAAGCGCTGGTGGTAGCTGGCAGGATCTCAGAGGGGCAGAAGATCGAGTGAAATTGTCTCCTGAAGGCCGGTCTCCTTTTTCTGCTTAGAAAAGTCATGTTATGCCCTTGATGCTGTTCTTGCGGCCTTGAGGCTGCTGTGGCACTCCTTGCTGGGCAGCTGCTTGTCTGTCACACCGCTTATCACCAGTGGGAGTGTGCCGACAAGGGCACGGCTCGTCAGAGCAGGCAGGGACGCGAAACAAGGGAGCCTAGAGCTTCAGGACTCCAGCGCAAGGTCCTGCCTGTGCACCGTGGGAGTCCCAGCATGCTGCTCCGGTGGCAGCTATTGCTGCTCCACACCATCAGCCACGATGATGGAACTGCCACGTAGTGGCAGCTATGGCAGCCACCATATGGCAGCCACCATAGCTATGGCAGCTACGCTATGGCAGCCACCATAGCATCCCCAGGTCTTTAGCATGCAGGGAGGAGAGCCTGCTTAGGGAGGTGGTGGTGACAGACACGTGGCAGCACTGCTCCTGTTGCTGGGGGAAGGGGTGCCTGTGCTGCGTCTCAGTGGGGTAGCTGCAGTAGTGGGGATCATTACCAGCAAGTGATGGGAGCAGAGGGGTAAGAGGCTGCCTGGCTCGTTTTGCAGTGGTTCTCTTTGATTTCAGGTTAGGGCAGGTGGAGATGAGCTGACAGTTTACACACAATCATTTAGATTTAGACCATGTCTGGTTTCACCAGCTGTGTTATTAATACACAGTTCAGGTTAAAGCTGGGTGCCTTCCCCAGCCCCCTCGCAGTAAGGACACAGAACAGCAGTAAATGGGTTTTATGCACCTACAGCTTTCCTTGTGAGGAGGGAGGAATGGGCTGTGCCATATGCAGCTGGTTTTATACCACTATAAAGTTATGTGTTGGTGCTGGGAGACACTGCTGGCTAAAATAATAAATTCTTCTAAGCCAACCAGAGAAGCTACTGCAAAGCTTAGGACTTAGGGAGGTATTGCATGCTTAAAGGAACTAGATGCTGAAGATGTGATAAGTTGCTGGTAGTCACTGAATCTGCTTAACGTCCATCAATTTAGGATTTAGGCCCCTAATCTGCTCATTTGTTGCTTATCTGTATTGTTACGTGCTTACGTACCTGTAATAAACCTGGCTTTTCCTAAGGATGCTGTTCACAGTTCTTCTAGGAATAATACCTGAATTCACTTGAGTGAGGCGAGGTTGAGTTCAGGTGGAAATCTGTTAGAAATAGAACAGTCCAAAACGTGACTTTGTGAGATTTCCTTCTGGGTGGAAGAGCCTGGGGGCGCCAGGCCAGTGACATGACTTACCTCTCCCTGCCTGCTCAGGAGAGGCACCTGCACACTACCGCTGGAGTGTGCACCCTGCTCCCGTCTGGATGGTGCTGGGTTTGATTTTTTTTTTTAATGAATGTTGCCTGGTGGTGTTTGTACTGACTTCTGCTTAATGTTTCTTTTGGATAAGGACTGGGACTTCTCATCTTCTGGTATCTTTTCCGGGCTGAAGATTGACCCTGATACTCTAGTAAAGAAGCTTGACTTGGACTCCAGAAGCATCATTTCCTCCAGAACAGGTCTGTTGTATTTTGAATGAGTGCCACATTAGGTTGTGAGCAAAGACACTGGGGACTGTATTTGCAGTGGCTGTCAGAACAAGCCCAGGAGAATCGAACCCAAACACAGCTTCCCGTGTTCCCGCAGGGGCTTTTAAAAGTGGTTTCTGTTTGGGGTTGGAGGAGGCAGAAAGGCATGTATGTACTTAGTGCTCCCCAGGTAGGGAAGTAGCTTCAGGCTGCCTGACACTGCTGGGCTGTGCGGTGCAGCTGGAGCCCCCACCTGCAGGATGTCCTCATGCCTGTGGGATGTCCTCATGCAGCCAAAGGCTCCTGGCTCCCAGAGGCTGAGGGGACAGCAGAGCCCAGGCTGTGACCTGATCTCCGGGCTTCCTCTGCGGCTGCTTTTGCCTTACCAGCAGCTGCCATATTCATACCCCAATATTTTGTCAGCAAGTTGCTTGTTGTGCATCAGCAGTGCTTTACCCACGGCAGCCTGATTGTAGCCAGTTCTCTCCTCCTGTTCCTTGCTGTTGCTAGGTCCCTGACTCAAGGACTCCTGGGCAGGAGAGTCCAGCTCACCAGGGAGTGTTGGGAGTGAGAGTGGAAACAGGGATGGGATGATAGAGACTTTTGTTTTCTAGTCCCACAACAAAGAAATGCTCCCTCTAGCTGCTTAGTGGCAGACAGAGCTTGGTATCTGAAACCGGGTTTCACCTCTCTAAATGGAAACTGATGGCACAGCAGTCTGTCCTGGTGCAGAAGATGCGTGTGACTCCCAAATACATTGTTTGCAAACTAAACTAATTTCTTCTCTTCGTGCAGATTAATATGGCTACAGTGACTTTGTCTTCATGTTTAGGGCTACAAACAAACCCAGTAACCACCCAAGGGCTAGTGGTTACCCGAGCAGTGGTGAGCTGTAGCAGCCATAGCCCATCGGTCACATTTGGTCACAGAGTGAGGGAATGGGAAGGTTGTGTGAGGACACATTTGCTGGAGGTGCTTGCCCTCTGCACAGAAATCTTTGTGAAATGTATTGTTTTCAAAACACTGAGCTCATTGTTCGTAACTCTCCTGGGAAAAGAACATGTGTGCATATGTGTGTGCATGTGAACATAGCCATCTCTTTAATTAAATTAGACAGCATGTTGTTGAAGGCTGACAGCCTGCAATCCTAGTCTTTCATTGCAGGCTACAGCTGTACGTCTGGTTTATAAATAGACCTGTGCTGCTGGTCCCTGTGCAGTGCTGATGATGCAGATGTGCGATGCCTGACTATGTTTAACCCTCTCTTGAGGCTGCGTGCTGGCTTCCTGCAGACAGCGATGCTGACCCCAATGCTTTGTGCTCCCTTGCACTTTCCAGATGATCAGCTAAAAATAGCTCTTCATATGGGGGCTCAAAACTGCAACTCAACGAGGCAAAAAGTGATTTTATTTTTTTTTTTTTAAATCTTCCCAAGCTGCTGTGCCCTTTCTTCTTGTATCACTCTGGAACCATGTGGAGGCTTTTTCATTATGGAAACCAATTCATTTTTTTGTGTTAATTCAGTGAACTGTAATGAGGCTGTGCATACAGTGGCAGACACCCTGGAGTTAGAAAAGAGATTCTAGGCAGACGTGCTTTGTCTCCTGGTATCTCTGGTCAGCTGAAAGCCTGTTCAGCAGGAAATTCAACTTGACTCCAACCCTCCCCCCCCTCTTCCTCCCATTCTCCCTTAGCTCAGTGCATGGGGCAGTAGGGTAGGATTCTCCTACACATTGTTATTTTAAGATTTAATAGCAAGACAAAAAAGTGTTTCTCTCCCACTTACTTTTCAAGCTCTGAGAAGGTCAAGTTGGCAGACTGTAGGTAGGCTTACTCTCTATCTCCCGTGCTTCTCACAGCTGAAGAAGATTTTTTTCTGTCAAGGTTGCTATGTGGCAGTTGAGAAAGCTGGTATATTTGACCTCCCTGTGTGTGCGCATGCACGCGTGCCTAACGTTACCTAAGATTGCTTCACATTATCTAAAATTGCTGGTATCTCTGTATTTTGTGTTACCATCTGGCCTTGTGCTGTGACACTTTAGGGACAGCCAGGAAGACTTCAGTGTGGGCTTAAAGAGGCCTGCAGGGCATGAGTGAAACAAGGGAGTGGTTACAGGGCTTGGACCTGGCAGGAAACCCTCTGCTGGGTTACCAAGCCCAGCTGGCAGCTACGGGTTCGGCTCTGTTATCTCTCTTCTTTAGATCCTGCATCCCTCTGCTTTTGGAGGTATAGTTCCCAGAAAGCCAGCATCTCACTCCATGGCTGTGCTTCCATGGCATTGCAGCTTGGTCAAAGGTCTCTGCATAAGATGTTTCCAGGTAAAACAGTTGACCTTCCTACTACTATTCTGCCTCTGTTCCTTTCTCCACTTGGGCTTTCACATTTTGGCTTTGTGCCTGAACTGGGGGACCCAACTTCTGTCTTTACAGAGCCCGAGCACCAAAACTATGTCAGCTGGAGTGCTCTCTGCTAATTCTGAAGCTGTCAGATGTGGAGCTGGCCCGGAAGGATATGCAGGGTTGAGAGATAGCTTGTTGCTGGAAAAGTAAGGAAGAAGAGGTGGTGATGTTGGCTTGCGGCTCCATCTGTCAGCACACCCCCTCACTGTTTAAGAGAGGATAGTGGCTGGCTAAATCAGCAGAAGAGACCTGGAAAGCCTGGTCTCCTCTGAGCATGGTGCAGGAACAGCAGTTGCTCCTGGACCAGTTTGAGGTGGTGGTGTAGGGGGAAGAGCCAGCCGGGCCTGCTCCTGTGGGGCTGCCTGGAAGACTTGGAGGGTTGTGGAGCTCCCTTTCCTCTCAATCTTGTCTCTTTGTCCTTCTCTAACTGGGATGAGTAGGTGACTATGACGGTGCATCTTTAGCTGGCTGATTCTCTCGGGTTCCTTGGCCTCCTTCTCTGCCTTCTATGCCTAGGATGTACTTTCTGGCTCCCCACTTTCCCTCTGTCCATCCTCTGCCTATTTGACATGCTTGTGTGGTTCCTTCCTCTCTCCCATGTGGCCTGGGCACTCAGAGCAGCTTTTGCAGAAGTTCTTTGCCTTTTGTCCAGCTGTGAAGGTGTCTGTGCTCATGACAAAATTTTCTGCTTCATTTTCTCTGGAGAAGATGAGGTGACTCTTGGTTTCTGTCATCTTTTTATTCTAGCACCAGGAGTTTAGAGGTAAATGAGGACTGTTAGTCCAGCAGCTGCAGGAGATGTGTTTCACTCCACTGTTACGTTGCTGTGTCTGCCATGAGCTGACTGTGCCCTGCCATATCGCAATTCTTCTGAATGCCTTAGATTTGGGAGGTGATGGAGAGCTGAAGAAACAAGCTGCAGAGAAAGGCAAATGCTTCTTTGAAAGCCTCAGATGCTGTTAGTGGTTGGGGCTGACATCTGTAGTAAGGATCATCTCTCCCAGCCTGGCCTGGACAGACTTTTTTCTCAGGGTTTGTGTTCAGTTTTGTTGTCAAAGAGGATGACTGCCTTCTCCTCATGTTCCTACAGCAGGTTTCAAGTTGCCTTGTCTTCATTCAAAGCAGCCTGCAGAAGGATGGGGGTGTGGGGAGATGTGTAAGTGTGGGCCTTGGGTGCGGTGGGGGGAAAGGCTGCCTGAACTGTGGGGCTCTAACAAAGACAGGGAAGCTTGGACAGGAGGCAGAGAGGTGACATTTTGAATTCACTTAATTGTTTGGAGTACCTGTAGAACCAGCTGATAGTGGCAAATGAAAAATATCCCTTGTGTACTGAATTTTTACACTGTGCTTCATTCTACAGGTCTGGTTTCTTCCAATTAAAATCTAGTCTGAGGAAGAGCTTGGAATTGGGTTAGATTTTAGAAGATGCCAGCCTGGAGCTCAACAGTAGTCAAAAAAGCAAATTGGCTGTTAGGAAGTAGGAGGAAAAGAGAATGACCTGGAAAGCGTTGTTATGTTCCATAAATAAATCCATAGTACATGCAGCTATTTGATGCTCTGTGTGGCCCTGGTCCTCTTGTCTCAGAAAAGACCAGCAAAGGTTCAGAGAAAGGCAGCAAGGCTGTTCAGAGGCCTGGGATGCCCATTTAGTTGTTCCTAAAGCAAAAGCCCTGGGCTCTTCAGCAGGGGAAAGGCAGTGAGGCAGGGTGTGATGGAAGCCTGGAAGCTGCATGGTGAGGGAGGGTGGGTGCAGCTGTCTGCTGTCTCTTCCACTACAAACCTGGAAGAAGCAACGGCAATAGCAAATGCTAGACACACACTCGAACAAGACATTTTGTGTCTCACATGGCGAATTCAGCTCTGGGCTCCATGTCTGTGCGTGATGTGAGTGCTGGACGCTTCTGTGAGTTCAGAAAGGGGCTGCACAGATTGATGGAGGGGGCCATCAGAGCTTCTTAATGCAAGGACTCATCTGGTTTGGGATGCACAGGTAGAGTGTGGTGGTTCTGCTCCTGCTGGGTCTTAGATGGAAAAGGGAGGGATATCGAGGCCTGGAAATGGCTTGTAGTGTTGCAAAAGGAGTGGAGACGGGCTTCTCCCACCCCTGGGTGGTTGTCCTAAATCCAACAAGGTCCCTGCATGCAGCGCAGAGAGGCAGCTGGGGGGCTGTGCGGTGGCTCAGGCCACCAGGATGTGCAGGGAGGGGACACAGGCTGCCACCAGGGCAGTGTGGGTCAGCTGGGGCAAGAGGAGGGCCCGGACTGCGGCCATGGGACTGTGTGATGTGCTAGGGGCTAACTAAACAACAGCAGAGCATGGTTACTTCCACATGATGAAAAGCTTCATCTGGAAGACCTGCTTTGATGCGCTGGAGCCAGAGGGATGCAATCCTGTAGGAAACCAAGGCATCGTTCTGCTGGGGATCGGGGACTATTGTCTGTAGCCACCAATGAGAGAGGAGGCCTCTCTCTCTACTTTTTTCCCCCTTAGTTTTCCTCAATTTGTTAAGTGATCAGCTTTTGCTGCTTTTTTGGCTGTGGTTATTCTGAGGGAACAGGGAGGAGCACGATACGTAAGTTGGAAAGTTCAGC